TCAAACTGTACACTCATCTATACTACTACTATCACTCTAACTTCAACTCTGATACACTAATATTAACTCTATCTCTCCTTTAGCCACCATGAGGATCCTTATAATTACAACACAAAACTCTATTTTTTCCTTTTCAAAATAATCATTTTCGCCCCAAAAATATAACTTACTCTTTTCATACTTCTTCTGTAGCACTGCTTAGTGGTAAGCTTTAGCTGTAAGTAATAATAATATTAAAGTAATTAAGCAGGAAGAAGAAAAGTATCCATCAAAAGAAGAATCCACCATTATATTACATTGTGAAGATATGAGGACGGCATCCGCACCACACAGAACCACACACCTGTTGGAGACTGTGTGGTGGATCTTTTCTTCTATTTTTCTTTCACACACTATTTCTCCCACAAGCGGTAAGGTTCTCCAGCATTCCCATTTACATTTTTATCCCCATATATTAAACAACTTTTACTTTTGGTTTTCCCTGGCTGGCCAGGTGGAGTTTTTCCTGGTTTCCTCCACCTTTCCTCCCCAAATGGGGGGTCAGCTCCCCGTTAACTTTACAGACCTTCCGGAAGGCTGTAGCATTTACCAACAGTGGTGATGCATCCCATCAAAAATCACTTTTCCTTTTTGCTGGTAGACTTTATCGCTGAATTGCTCACTGTGATTTCTCTTCTTCACCCACTTTGAAAAATTCAAAAACCAGTTAGGTCAGGTTGGCTAGGGATGCATACTGCAACTATTCTATCTGCCTTTTCTTACTCTTAATAAATATAAAAATTCTTGGTAAGTTAAAAGCATTACATAAAATATAACATACATAATAAAAACTAAGACATAACACATAAAACCAGGGCTGTGGAGTCGGAGTCGGAGTCGGAGTCGGAGTCTGGAGTTTTGGTGTTTTAGCCGGAGTCAGAGTCGGAGTCGGATTGGTAAGGAAAAGTCGGAGTCGGAGTCGGAGTTGGAATCGGTAGATTTTTACGCGACTCCACAGCCCTGCATAAAACGTAAAATTATGAGCCCTCACAAGGGACTAGAAATTATGAGCCCTAAATGGGACATCTATGAGCCCATTTAGGGACACTTACCAACACAGTACACTCTTGAATAAACAACATTCTTGGCCTCTTTGTGCTCTCTGAGCGGTAAGGGGTCTAAAACCACAAAAAAAAAAAAGAAAAAACCACGTAACATAGAAACTTCCGGTTGGAAAATCAGATAGAGCATCGAAAACTACTCCTAGTAGAAGCCTAGCTAGAATTCCGGATAAATATTTTTTTATTATAATGTTTTTATGTTCCGCATCAAATAGAAAAAAATTCAGAGATTGGCTAAGTAGAAATTGAAAAAGGTGAGATTGAAGGTTTTTCTAGAAGCGAGATATATATGGATGTCAGTGGTTCGTTATCCTATGGGCAAAAAGGACAATTGTCTGGGGTCACTACCAATAAGAGGCCCACACCAATCTTTTATAAGAAAATATTCCCCCAAAAATTCCTCGAAGAGAAATGGGCCCAAGCGTTTCCGTTCCCAGAACACTGGGAGTTCGGTCGTGGGTTCACGCCTCGCCAGGACGGGCTGGCCACGTGAAGTTTTTCGGGATTTCTCCACTTCTGTAACGCCTAAATAGGGCCAGTTACCCTTAAAAAGACCTCACGGAAGGCATCCTCCTTAGGCAGATCGCTCAAGTGTTGCATTGCCATTAGGATTTCTCAAACAGGATCCCGGAATCCCGGTTGTTTTTTTAACCCGGAAAATTCTTCTCATTCCGGGAAATCCCACAAATTTCTTAAAAATTCACTTTTTTCTTATTTTGTGTTAAGATTGAGAAATTTTGCAAATAGAAAGTATAATTATCTCATTCACTGTCAGAATACATTTGTATTTATTAATTTTAAACCTATCTATTAGTTTTTTTTTTAATTTTTGCTCGTTATGGCATGTCATAAATGGTCAAGAATCAATACGTAGCTTATTTGTGGCAGGATGCTGAAAATTCTTTACTTGTCAGAACCTGTAATATCTGGAATAATTGTGCTTACGCTGTGTTAATTTTTAACCATGCCCGGTAGCTTCAACAACTGCGTAACGCCAGGTTGTGCAAATTGGGCAAGGATACAAACGAGTACGAAAACTGCAAGTATGAAGTTTTTCTTCATAAACCTGATTATTAAAGACGAACGAACTGCCGAATTATCGGTCTATAAGCTTGATGTTTCTATTAAAGCAGCCGCGATAGACAAATCAAGAATATTAAAGAGCAAAAGAAGTATTACTATCTCAAAAACGAACTAGAAATCTCCAAGCTTCGGGTGAAAAAACACATAACATCCGTCTTCTCTTAAATGCATTAAAGACGCTTCCACCCACATGAATTGAATGGGAAAGAGCATTCTCGGTAGCAGGACTTTTCATTAGTTAAATAAGAACCTGATCCAGTGATTGGAGTATTGACCATCTTTGCTTTTTAAAATTCTATTCTAAAAATTTACAATAATATTTTGTATTATGTTTCATTAAAAAAAAACGAAAATTACCTTTTAAGTTAGAAGTTTGATCTAAGTTCATTTTTTTTAATTTAAATTTTCAACTCAATTCAAACCATTTGTTGTCGTTGTTGTTTTTGTTGTTGTTGTTGTTGCATGCAGTTTCCAACAAACATTAATAAATTTTTTCTATTTGTGAAAATTTCTATGTAATTCAAAGGTAATTTTTAATATATATTTTACACAGCATTATTAATATGATTTCGGAAGTTGCAGAACGTATTAAATTACTTTAAAAAATAAAAAAATAATTATATCATTTGATTTCAAGATATTTTGTANAAAAAAAAACATTCAGCGTTTCAGAAATATTTTGAGTGTTCGAACTTTTCTGGATATTTACAGGTATTGATTTTTAATAAGCCAATAAATTAACATCGCTTTAAAATATAGAAATAATTCAAAATCTCTAATCAAAATTTTTAAAAAATTAGAATTATTTGCTTTTTGTCCAATATTTTAATAAATCCTCTGAACAGACATTTGTTATAATTTTTAAGCTTGAATTGTGCCCCAATTTGTATTTGACATTAAATTTTTATTTTAATTTACGGTCTGTATCATTCTTTTTGTTAATATAAAATGGAAGTCAATGTAAAGCCTGTAGGATAACGTGCCACTGTCTAATAATCCCATGTGAATCATTCTGTAGATTTTATCTAAACTCCTATTCCCTGTTTATGGATTGGACGATTATGTAAGAAGATTATGAAAATAAACGCGAGGTTGCGGAGGGGACGAGAGAGATCGGTAAAGGGCGACGAGGAAGCCAGAAGACTGTTGAGAAAGGGCGCGAAAAAGACTGAAGACGATCCCAGACGCTAGAATATTATTGTCCTTTCTATTACTATTCATACGTATATGGTCAACACTGTACGTGGGGCCTCCTAATTCAAATTTGTCTGGCCCTCATGAAGCTATAACACGCCACTGACGAATGAAACATATTATAGGAAATGCGAGGCACTGCCTAGGATAAATAAACCTAACCGAATGTTTTATTTATCGTTTTTATGTTATTCTTTATCTTTATCTTCTCTTTTCCAACATCAAGTTCAAAAACAAAACAGACTTTCTTGCCCTCACAATATGGCGGTTTGTTGTACAGTGAAACCACTTGCGGCTTCAAGTGTTCCTCTAGTAACAACAAAGCGCTGACGCTCCCGTTAGATGAAATAGATCCATGTTCTAATGGACGCGTTGCCTAGTTAAACGACTTTTATACATCCGGATAAGAAAGTATGGAAATAAAACGGGCTATGCTATTGGCTTGCTTATCCAGCTGTATTAAAGCGGCTTTACCAAAAAACGTGCCCAATGTAAACAAAAGCACGTGCCATTTTACCCTCTGGTTGGTCTAATTTAAATGTCAACATAATACGAACCGAAACAGGACTGAAACTATCGCGTAACGTAGTTCCGAATAATTTTGTTTTAAACATTAGGATAAAGAAAAAAAAATTACTGTATAAATGCACATTTTATTTACTGAAAAACTAAATTTTCTTTAGTACAAAGACTTCCGATACTTTGTGTAACACAAATTAAATCAAATATTTTCTCGACGATGAAAAACACATTTTTTAGCTATTTTATTATTTTTATAGTCGTAAACCGTAATTAAATATAAAAATACAATTATCTCAAAAATAACATACTTATTTATTTATTTTTTTAAAATAACGAAGGCAAAAAATTTTCGGAGCAGCCATCATTTTTGGCTGTCCGGTGGCCGAAAATGTCAAAACACACACACGAAAAAGAAATTCTGACAAAACGAGGAAAGAAAACTCATCACAGATTGTTATGTAATATACAAAAGATTATTTTTAAAAATAATTTTTTATATGCTTTTACTATTAAATAATCGGTTAAAGTGCTTTGTGATTTTACATTTTGATAAAATAACGTCTTAGGCCACCAGAGTCCAGCGACCAACGTCCGTTAAAAATAAAAAAAACATTCAGCGTTTCAGAAATATTTTGAGTGTTCGAACTTTTCTGGATATTTACAGGTATTGATTTTTAATAAGCCAATAAATTAACATCGCTTTAAAATATAGAAATAATTCAAAATCTCTAATCAAAATTTTTAAAAAATTAGAATTATTTGCTTTTTGTCCAATATTTTAATAAATCCTCTGAACAGACATTTGTTATAATTTTTAAGCTTGAATTGTGCCCCAATTTGTATTTGACATTAAATTTTTATTTTAATTTACGGTCTGTATCATTCTTTTTGTTAATATAAAATGGAAGTCAATGTAAAGCCTGTAGGATAACGTGCCACTGTCTAATAATCCCATGTGAATCATTCTGTAGATTTTATCTAAACTCCTATTCCCTGTTTATGGATTGGACGATTATGTAAGAAGATTATGAAAATAAACGCGAGGTTGCGGAGGGGACGAGAGAGATCGGTAAAGGGCGACGAGGAAGCCAGAAGACTGTTGAGAAAGGGCGCGAAAAAGACTGAAGACGATCCCAGACGCTAGAATATTATTGTCCTTTCTATTACTATTCATACGTATATATAATATATCAGGCCAGTCCATAAGTTCGTGCGTATTTTATGACCTTGAGAAAAATCTTGTTTTGCTGTTAAAAATGCCAGTCTAATGTGATACTTTTTACACTGAAGTATTAAATTTGATATCATTCATATAATACTGTTCAGAATTGGGAACATTTCAGTTGTTTATTTTCGTTAAAATGGAAGTAACAGATGAATATAAGAGACATGTTTTATACTTTTTATTTTTAAGTGATGAGAATGCTACAAATGCAGCCAAAAAATTAAATACTGTTCATAATCAAACTGTAATTAGTGTAAGGNAAGAAGTTTAGACGAATGGAATTTTTTATATTCATTAATAGTATTCTGCAAATTATAAGCTAATATTTATTTTAAACATCTAGGTTTTGCTGTGACGGAGAATAAGAAAGTGATAACATTGGACCAAACTACGAATCATTTGTTTGTTTTTAATAAAAGCGGCAAATTAGAATGTAGTAATGTTTTTGATCGTAAAACCAAGAAATTCGAATTGTTATTATATGGTTTCCTATTCCAACGAAGTTGCCTTATCCGATTCTGGTACGTGAAGAAGAAGAAGAAGAAAAAAAAAGTTAATTATTTTTAAGAATGGTTTTAAATTAAACAATTTTTATTGTTAGGTGCTAGTCAAGTCTACAAAACTACATTAGATGGTAAATTAAAATCTTCGGTAGCTACGGAAGAGCTCCAAGGCAAATGGATCGACCGTCTGTTATCGCTTTAGTTCCAAAAGGTGCTGTGTTTATAGCAGAGATCGGAAATGAGCGCATTCAGGTAAAATATTTAATAAATTATTTTATGGAAACTTTACATTCAGTAAGTTTAAATAAAATTCGTTTTCAGGTTTTTGATTGGAAAGTACTGTAGATTTCTTAGGCAGAGCCACATTTTCTCTTCAGATTCGACCATTGGACGTAGCATTAACTAAAGACGGGCGCTTATATGTTTTCGATGCTTTTCAACGCCGTTTAGATGTTTATCATCTCGAAACGGATAAATAAGTTTTAATTTTATAATTTCAGATATGCATCATTATATAGTTGAAACTTCTTTTTAAAAAATATATTCTCTTGGTTAAAATGTTTAAATGAATAATTACAATTTTTTAATGTATTCCTTAAATTGTTTACTTAGTCTTTGTATAAATTATTATTAATAATGTTTATGTTATTGAATAGTATATAGTGAAAGGTTTATTAGTGTTTATCATTTTATTAATAACATGTTTCTTAGCAAATGTATCATAAAAAGTATTGTTTTAACACCGTTAAATCGATATAAATTTTGTTGAGATTTGTCAATTAAAAGAAAACATTAAACTTTATTCTTCACTTTTTCTATTTCACTAATTTGAAGCTTTAATTCATTCTTTGTTTTAATTTATTACATTTATAAACTTTAAATACAGTATTTATAAGTTACATCAGTCAATAATTTATAAATATAATTAGTTCTATTAAACATCTTTAACAATTTTTACATACAGTATTAGAAACTAATTTAATTAAAAATTTCTAATTCTTTATTTTAAAATGTTATTTAAAACTAAAAATATATAAATATAAATTTAGCCAGATTTCGTGTTTGAAATTTATGTATTTTCTTTTTATAGTACAAAATTGTATTTTCATTTCGGTTTAGTTTGCTGTAATTTATTCGAAATAATATTTTGTTATCTTATTCTGGTTTTTCTGCGATGCATTGTCATATTAACAATATCGTAAACTGTCTCGTGATACACATTAACCTCTATTATCATGGCATGGAGTATTTTAGAAATCTTTTATCTCCATTACGGAATTTTTCTCACCTATCTCCTTAATTAATGAGAGCGTGCTTAGCCTTAGGGAACTCGCACCATGCTCTAAAAAGCACTTATCCATAAGATTCTTGCTTGCATAAAAAAAGGAATATCAGACGACTCTCAAAAGTCTCCTGCACGTCGGTGATCTAAGTTTGATTTAAAATTAATTATAATAATTGTCACGAAGAAAATACGGATGAGTAGTTTTTTGGTGTGATGGAAGAATATATTCTTGTAAATTTTAAAGTCAAATATTTCTTAAAATTTATCAAAAAATTATCGATAAACTTTATGTATTGTACGGTACGCATCTATCGATTACAATAAAACATTTAAGAATATAACTTTCAAAAATATATCGACTATTTTCAGTAAAGGGCCGTTAGATTTTATAAATATTTTTGTTTAAATTAAAATTTACACTTGCCAAATAAAAAAAATTAACAGAATTCTTAGATTTTTATTTATTCGTCTAAATTATAAATTGAATTTTATTGTTTCAATTTAAAATGATGTAATTTAACATATACTAGACCAAACTATAAATAAATTTTAACTTTGCCGATAATGTTTTTGGAACTAGGAATTTTCTAAACAAAAAACATTGCTTATATATCCTATTTAAGTTTCTTGTCTTTGCAGTGAACTACCCTTGTTACCGATGCAAAGTTCAAGTTATATCTTGTCTGCGTTGTAGACCGCGAATTTACACTAAAGTTTGTTTAATCATAGTTTCAGCTAGTACGCTGCTTTCATAATTTCGCGGAGCACTTATAACAAGTTCGCGTAACACTTAGTGTTCCGGGGAACACCGGTTAAGTACCAGACGAAACACATGGCTGACCTATCAATAGGGATCCCTATCCCATTGACAGATCAGCCATGGACTTTATAGGAAACTGACTCTTATTATATATTACATACGTAAAGAGAACCCGAAAAAATCTCGTAGTCAGTCTGTTGTTCCCGTGGGCCAACGGACTGACCATATGGAGGATTCAGTTTTTTATCCACTCGACTTTGGCCATAGATTCAAAAGGAAGTCGAAAATAGAGTGAATCCGTTTTATTTGTATATTTGAATTTTACTCTAAAATTAAAATAAAAATTCAGAATTAAAAATATCAACATGTTTTTTAAAATTTTATTTATTGAAATAAAAGAAACATTAAATGAATATGAATACCGTATTAACAAAGCAAATTCAAGAATTAGTCTTTATAAAAAAAAATTATAGAACATCCCTAAAATGCTGACAATAAATTCTTTGGATAAAAATTAGTTCCTCTGCTATCTAAGACATGTACAATAAGTGTTATTTAATATTCCACTGCAAATTCCTCCTCTGTATCTTCTTCTAATGCAGTCACTATTACATTTCCAAAACACGCAGCGTTCAGCTTCTACATTTGCAATTTCTATTGAAAAATAAAATCAAAATTTAAAAATTTTAATTAACAACAACAACAACCTAATTAATTATTTAGCTATTTTAGATTTTATACTTGAAATAGAAAGTATTTTTCAAAATTAAAACCTTACCTTGAGCGCATAAAATAAAAGCTAAAAGCAACAGAATTGTCACCGCTTTCATTTTATTAAATCTCGTAAAACTTTTCTAAATTAAGAAAAAATAATAATATAAAATTATAATTATGGTGCATTAAATATAACATCAACGCAATTATATTTTTGTCCTACAATAATTTAAAATACGGAAACATATTTTTAGTATCGTAGAATTTCATTTTTTAGTGAATTATTTTAAAATAATTTATATGTAAAATTCTTACCTGAATCTACGGAAGGTGTTAACGAATATTGTTTATCTCGTCGACTATTTTATTTATATAAGAACTAGACGGAAGTAACAATGTACTTTGATTCCAGATGACGTGATTGGAAATTCTGAATCTCCCAATCATTTACATTACACAACACGGGAAAGTTTATAAAAATGTCGTAAAAAGATAAGTTGCATTTTATTGCTGATATCGTTATATACATAGATTATATTTTAATGAATATATTTCACGAGATAAAGAACTTAGCAGAATTTTTCTTCTTTAAGTTCTAAGGGTTTGAGACAAAATTTCAAGTAACTTTATTTTCGGCTTGTTTTTGGCTCTCTTCAGTCTAAAAGTTATAAAATTTCCACGCATTAATAATATTTTACAATGGAGAATGTTATTAAGAAACTTTTTAACTTGCCGAAAAATAATTGATCTTTTAGTGTTTAATTAAATTTCATCAAAAATTTTAAATCTCTAATTTCAAGAAATTTTTAATGGACATTCAAGTTAAACAATAAAAATCAGTCTTGAATATTTTCAATTTCTATACAATAAGTTATATTCAAAATAATTTATAGAATATATTATTGAATGATGTATTGGTATAGGCTAATGTCTTCGTTTGCTCTGTGTTAAATTGCGAATTAAATTAATTGATTTAATATTGAATAAGCTCTTCAAAAAGTAATGTTTAACCCATTACACTTTTAAATATTTGCACAATATAGACCAAATCACTGAGAATAATTAATAATGATTTTCATATGTTTTTAATGTAGTTTTACTATCTTTCTTGCGTTATACAATGTAAAACCGCAAATAAAATTAATCGAATATTTTGAAAAGTGAATTATTTATCTTTTAAAACACGCTATTTATAAATGATATTAATTAATGTCGGATTTAATAAGCATTTATTATGTAAGAGATTAACCTTTTTTGTTTTGACTACTCATTTCCTATAAATGTGTGCATAAAAATTGTTTCGCTAAATTAATGGAGTATTATATGATTTATTAATTATTTAACAAATCATACACTTAATAATTATATAAAATTAAAAGGTTTAATTCTTTGATTTTCACACGCGATAAGGAACAGCTTTAGGAAGGAGATATTCAGATAACATATTTTTTTAATCTGTATTCTAGGAAATTACACAATTTTTGATCACCTAGAATTATTGAGAAATAAATTTCCCATTACCGAGAAATAAAAAGCTTATTAAATGAGTGAACACGTGTGGCATATTAAATATGTCTTTTTAACAGTCAAAAGTCAGCAGATAGAAAAAATATAACTTATATATACTGTGTATTTACAATATAAAATCAAACTGAATTTTATTTTATAGTGATTAAACACAAGTGTGTATGTGTATGTATATAGGCCTATATATAATGCAAACTTATCTTTGAAAATTAATTTTGTATGCATATTGGCTATTGATAGATAATCTGATTCTTCCAATGCAATTGACAGAGAAAAATATATAGTAACAATTCAAAAAATCATTATTTTTCTCTCTTCTATAAATAACTTTTAATAAGAAAATTAGTATTTATTTTGTATATACTGTATTTATCTATAATATATTACATTTAAATAATAAGACAAAATTTTAGCCAATTATATTTTTCGTAATTTAATACTTTCACATTTTCCAGAAATAGTTTGAAAGTTTGATAGTTTGAAGTTATGTAGAATTTTGAACAGAATTTTTGTAAAATATTTCTAGATTTTTTTAAAAAAAATTATTTACTGTAAATTAAAGTCGAATTTATTCTACACTACAGATTACACTGTATAATCTGGAATATGTGTGTATACCATATGATCTTTATAATAGGATAACAAATTTACTTGCTACCTGGCCTGCAAGTAAGTTTGTTATCCTAAAAAATTGTAGACCTATAAATTCCCACTGTCGTTCGTCTGTTTGTCTGTCCCTTCTTAATCACGAGAACGGAGTTAGGTATATGGAATTCGAAAACCAGATATGGAAAGCATAGAGGCAGGAGGCCCTGATTAACTGATGTGACTTCCGGTTTGCATCGTAAGTTCACGTTATTTCGCATACATAAAATATGACACTGTATAACATATAAACCGCAATCGCAGCATAACGAATTATTTCCGTTTTAGACAGGCTTTATTATATAATTTTGTGAATTTTTAATTTATTTTAATAATTAATTGGATATAATAAAATGAGCTAAAATTTATAACGAAAGATTAACTTAAAACTATTCAGTCACTACAGTTTATGATCGAATATTTTTTATCTACAAATAAAAAGAAAAATATAATAAATACATTGGATTTATGAAATCATTTTTTATAGAATGTCACACTTAAAGGAAAACATAATATATTTTGAAATATATTTTTGTTGTAGGAAATATTTACTGCAATAAAAATTTAAAAAAAAAATAAC